TATGTCTGTGATTTCGGGCTTAGGATCCTCACATGTGGTGGTGTGCGTGACGGTGTCACATGTGGGTGTGTCTGTGACAGTGTCGCTTGTGACTGTGTGTTGTGTGATTTCGGGCTTAGGATCAGCACATGTGTGTCTGTCTGTGACTGCTTTACATGTGGGTATGTCTGTGATTTCGGGCTTAGGATCCTCACATGTGGGTGTGTCTGTGACTGGGGCGTTGCTGCGTTGATGTATGATTGCGGGCTTTGGAGGTTCATGTGGGGGTGTGTCTGTGACTGTGTCGTCTGTGACTAACTGGTGTGTGATGTCGGGCTGAGGATGATCACATGTGGGTGTGTCCGTGACTGTGGCGCCTGTAACTACGTGCTCAGGTATTCTGGGTGTAGTAGCATCACATGTGGCGGTGTCGGTGACTGCTTCACGTGTGGGTATGTCTGTGATTTCGGGCTTAGGATCCTCACATGTGGGTATGTCCGGGACTATGTCGTGCGTGGGTATGTGCGTGACGGTGTCACATGTGGGTGTGTCTGTGACTGCGTTACCGGAGCCTGGTGGTTGTGTGATGTCGGGCTTAGGATCCTCACATGTGGGTATGTCTGTGACGGTGTCGCTAGTGAGTGTGTGTTGTGTGATTTCGGGCTTAGGATCCGCACATGTGGGTGTGTCTGTGACAGTGTCGCTTGTGAGTGTGTGTTGTGTGATTGCGGGCTTAGGATCCTCACATGTGGGTATGTGCGTGACTGTGTCGTGCGTGGGTATGTCTGTGATGCCGGGCTGCGGATGATCACATGTGGGTCTGTCTGTGACTGTGTCACTTGTGGGTATGTGCGTGTCTGCGTCACGTGTGGGTCTGTCTGTGACTGTGGCGCCTGTAACTGCGTGTTGTGTGATGTCGGGCGTAGGATCTGCACATGTGGGTATGTGCGTGACTGTGTCGTTTGTGAGTGTGTGTTGTGTGATGTCGGGCGTAGGATCAGCACATGTGGGTGTGTGTGTGGCTGGAATGGGGGCGTCGCAGGTGGGATGACGGGCGTGGTAATGACGGGGTGGATCCAAGGCGGAGGAAACATGGGTGCCTGCAGAACCCTGGTTTGTGCTAGGAGCATCCAAGGAACTACTATGCCCCTTTCCGTCCCGCATCAAATCCTGCGCAAACTCCTCCACTACAATCTTCCAATAGTCGTCTTTGACGTTTTCCCACACGGTCGCTTCACATTCGTTGAGCACTTCTAGATGTAGTTCGATGATCGTGCGCTTATGCACGCGTGGTTGACGTCGTCGTCGGGCGGCGGGCAATCTGCGGGGCTGCCTATCCCTAACCAAGGTGTACCCGAAATCGGGTGGCGGGCGTTCGCCGCGTTGCAAATGGTCTAGTATGTCTTCGTCGAGTGGCGGTGACGGCACGTCACGTATAGTTCGATATGTTCGTCGTCGTCTTTGTCCGAGGTAGGCAAAATACTAAGCAGAAAAAGGGGGGTAAAGAGCAGGGTGAGGACGGTAGGATACAAGGAATGAGCGCGGCTGTAGCAGTATATTGGTTCGAACGATCATATATTGGAGCCGCTTGGGATGTTCTGCGGTATAAACATCCTGCACATGCGGGATTCCGTGATTGCCATATATACTTACCTTCCATAGGAAGAACGCAATGATCCCGATGCCAACCACCGCGGGAATGATCGCGGGGGTATAGGGGATGAGATTCTTGGGGTCGAATGGTGTCGATGGAGGGGGAACAAAGTGAGCTACAGCATCTTCCCCCGCCTTGGGGGGTGATGGCTGCACTGGTGATTGTGGTGATGTTGGTGATAAGGTTTCTGATGATGGTGTCTGCGTTACTGTTGTTGTGGTTGATAGTTCTGGTCCTTGAGCTGGAGTTGAGGTTTCTGAACCAGAGGATAAGTTGCTTCCACTTCCCCCCCCGCCTCCACCACCACTACTACCACCCGTACCACCAACAGCTCCAGCACCGCCTTTTCCTGCCTCACCAGACACACCACCTCCAGCACCTCCTGCGGCCGGTGCGCCGCTGCCGCTGGGGCTGCTGCTCCCCGATTGATTTGGGTTCGGGTTCGGTTTTGGTTTGGGTGGATTGAGAGGAGGGGGGTCATCGTTACCGCCGCCATCTACGATGGCACTGCTGGCATCCGCACCGTCCGCTTTTCCATCCTTCTCAGGTGCAGCAGGTTGCCCCGCTGGATGTGTTTCCCCGGTGGAGGGAACTGAATCCGCTTGACCAGTTGGACTGGTGGGAACCACGGGATCTGATGAACTGGGTTGACCTGTTCCTGGATGTTCACCCAGGGAAGATGGTTGCCCCGTATCAACATTCGTGGGGTCTTCCGGTGTATTGGTTATTACTGTACGCGGTGCCGAATCCTGAGTGGTACTTGGGCTCCCATCTTCACTCTTAGTTTCTGCGCCCGGCTTCACCTCCGTTCCAGCAGCGACTGAACTGCCCGCTGGAGAAGGCTGCGCACCTTCCCCTTCCGCTGACTTATCCTTACCAGCTTCCACAACCTTCGCGTCAGTCTTGTCATCTGAACATAGAAGCAAGGGGAAGAATATAGAGGTAACTAAGTTTTCAGGGGTGGTTGTCCACATAGTGCGGTTGTCCGTCGTTTCACGACATCACCGTCGCTGGATGGTTGTCCATGCGTCGTCGGCCATGCTGGGTCGGCACCATTGGTGCCACGGTGCGAACGGTGGTTGGCAGGTGCCACCCCGGGAAAAGACTCTCTGTCTGCCACACAACACACAACACAACACACACACACAGTGTGTGTTCGCGTGTGTCGGTCTGCATCTGCCTCGACGTCTGTCTACAGCTGCATCCCGCGACGGACCCGTTTCTCGGCCGATCGCTCTCGCTCATTCGACGTTTGGTTTCTCTCTCTGGCTCTCGCTCCGTGTGGTCTCGCCCTGACTCCGTGTGGTGTCTGCCGCTGTCGCCGGAAAAGTTGTTGTTTCTTTTTTTTTTTGTTTCCGTCGCGTCCTTTTCTGACTGTTCATTATGCGTACCTATGGGTACTGTAGGAGTAGTATGCGACATGCCTATGGATATTTCTATGGAGCGCGCAGCACCGGGGAGACCCATGGGACCCCTCCCAATGAGTTCGTCGACCTCGTCCTTCTTGTTCACGTTGTCCGTATTCTTGAGTTCCCGCTCCAAGCACTTAACAATTTCTTCTGGATCCGCATTTTCCAGGTCTTCACACTTTCGTACATTTCCTGGAGTATGTTCCGGGGAACCCTCCTTACTTATATTCTCTCCTTTGGCCTTACCCTTTACTTTATCCTTGGACTCCGTGCTCGTCCTCTCTCTCTCTGCTCCTGCGCCTGCTCCTCCTCCCCCTGGGGATGGTGCTGTAGGAGACGGATCTGATGGTGGAGGGGGTCCTGGTGGTGGAGGAGGTGGTGGTGGTGGTCCTGCTGGTAATTCTGGAGATGCCGGTGCTTGTGGTTGCGATGGCGGCAATGACCTGCCTCGTGCGGGATCCCCGAGTTCGGGTCCTGCACTTGATTTACCTAAGATGGGGAACCCAAGAAACATGGTAGAAAGATGATAACAAAAGCACACAAGTGGTACAGAAAGAAGGGGCCGGGACGGTGCGGTCACGTAGCGGCAGGGTGGGGGTCCGGCTCGATGCAGTGGGTCGGCTGCATGGGTGGATGCAGTGGATCGAGGTAGGACTCGGTGAACTGGGTGAGGCGACAGCAAGCGCACGGTGAGGTGAACTCGGTGGACTCCGTACTCCGTGAACTGGGTGACGCGGCAGCAAGCGTACGGTGAGGTGGACTGCGTACGCAGTGAACTAGGTTGCGATGGTAGCAGTACAACTTTTATTTGTCGCCGTGATCTCGTCCGCCGTGCCGCTGCATCCGTCGCTACATGCTCGCCGTGGCCGCTGCACGGCACGTTCCACGCTCCCGTCGTGACTGCACACGTCAGCTTAACGACGGGGTGCTGCTGTTCCGCCGCGTGCGTGTTGTTGTGGTGCCGATGCGTTGGTCCGTTCTCGTGTGCATGCGTGTTGTGGCGACCGCAGTCGTACGGTACTTAGCGTGCCGTATTAGTGCTTTCTCCCATCGGGCCTTACCTGACGTGTCCTTTGATGTTGTGGTTTCCGGCGATGCTGCAGCCGCTGGATGTGCTGCAGGATCCTGGGCGGGTTTTTGGTCGGTTGTGGACTGTGCATCGGAGGGCTTTGCTGCCGATTCCCCTGCTATTTTTTTCTCCTCTTCCAGCTTCTTTTGTTTAACTTCTTTCTCCAGTGCTCCCAATTTTGCCTTAATTCCTTCCTTTATCTTTTGCACATCTTCTTCCTTATTAATTTGCTTTTGGCCTCGTCTTGCGGCCTTGCACTCTGCTCTGTCTTCTATTTCTCGTATTTTCTCCATCATTTGTTCATTTCCGTGGAACCAATTCGTGATCGCATCATGCACCTTCACTCCTCCAATTCCAGTACCCTTATGGTCCGCCCACTTACATATATTGATTTCCACCCCCGAATCTTTCATACTGTCTTCCATCTGACCCATTACATATAATGCATACTCTACACCGTTCTTGTTCTGACAGTTCGCTTCTATTAGCATGTACATATAAATACTCACTATGACACACCTTATAAACTTCTTTAACTCTCCCTCCTCACCCCAATCCGCCCCTGCTTTGCCTAAACCTTGTGTCCAATCATTCTTGAAATATAGCGCAAGCAGCATGAGTCTGCACATTGCTTTCTCTGGGCTCTTCCATGGTACCCGTACCCGGTGACCATATTCAGTTTCGTCACATGATGAAGTCAACATCTTTTCGTACTCTTCGTTCTGTATAAAATCCACAAACTCATTCAATACGACTTGTATGTCGTTCCATATGCTCCTCTATAATGTGAAAGATCGGAAAAACATAAATTTTACGTTCAATCGATGCATACTTACTGTGGTCGCACAGTGCTCTATGCCAACTGTCCACTAAAAAATTATGCATACATTTTGCTCACATTCCTATTGACCTTGTTCCGTTGTTCTCATTGTGCTAAAATAACTTACACTTAATCGGTCCTGGTCCGCTACTCGCCTTCGTTCTACCCACTGCCTTATTAAATCTGCCCAATGCTGAACCATTTTGGCGCATGTATCCTTCCTGATACTATTCCTACGTTATAATTCAATGCAGTATAATTGAATCCTCACGGTCCATAAATAATTATCCTGCTTCGCGTTGTTCTACGTCATGGAAGAGTCCAGACAGTTCGATGTTCCCCTGTTGTGTTATTTATCTAATACTGTATCCTATAATCAACATGTCCGTATAGTGCGCTGCGGCAATACTGTTGTATGCAGTACTGCGCACAAGAATATATTATACTCCTCTTATGGGCAGCACGCAATAAAAGATGATTCCTCCATCACTGAAACAACAAAGGCTAAACTAAAGCCCATTCTGTGTTGCAATACGTTCGGAACTGCTGTCACGCATATCTGTCATCTTCCATATTTATAGAATAGTACTCCTTCACAGGACTCGAGCACGCAATTCCGCACATAAACAGCACTTTCGCACGTTTACTCTACGTGAGACGTATAAATCCTATTATTCGTGAAACCATATGTATATAAAGTAAGAACGAGAGAGAAAGGAAAAGAAAAAGGAACACAAAACAGGCAATAGGAGGAACCTAAGGAAAAACAAATAACAAAAGACCAAAAAACAAAAACAAAGGAAAAAATAGGAACAACACTACACACAACGCGTCATGAATACCGCCCTTACTGCACGGGTTTACACTGAACCCATTCACACACACTGTGTCTCTGTGTGCGTACACCTAAAACCCCTTGTACACTACAAACCGCAGTAATAACAACATCAATGTCTACTGCCGTCCTTGCCGATCCTTGTTGGCCGTCCCACAAAATATGTGTGTTCCTTCTCCACCCCTCCGCTCTCTCTGTCCTCCCTCTCTGTGATCCCCCTCTTTCTGGATGCTTCCCTCGAAAACTGCTTACTCGGACAATCGTGTTTACCCGGCCGCGTTTGCTCGGAGAGACAATCTGTCCTCCTTCTTACACTCGGCGGCAATGTGCTTTAGCCGACCGCGTTGGTCGACGCGTTTGCTCGGAGAGACAATCTCTCCTCCTTTCTTACACTCGGCCACTTCGTCGAATCGGTCTTGCACGTGGCCGCGTGGGTCGACGCGTTTGCTCGGAGAGACAAGCTCTCCTTATACGCGAATGCGTATGCGCGTGCTGTATGTGTTCTGCACTATACCCGTAGAATGCACGTGCGCATCTTTTAATAATTAAGTTCACATAAAGGAGAATTCTACCCATTCATATTATTCATTTAAATGTACATATTATATGCATGTAACCGGTACGCACCTGTTCCTATGGTCATGTTAAAAGAAGTTGACAAGATAACGCTAGCAAAACAAAGCAAAAGTAAGCACAAGTAAGCAGAACAGAGCAGCAAAAAAAAAAAGAACGTATGGAATAGTGCATACAAGAAATATACTATGTATATCACATAATGAAGTAAACGTGGTCTAATGGTAGCATGCGTTATGTCGCATGCATATGCGCCGTCATACTAATGTCACATATTCTGTAATAAAGCATCCACATATAACTCCCGATCGTGCATACTATTCTCGAGCTCGCACGCCTCAATGATTAATGCCAGGATCAGTATCCATGTTTGAGCGGTTAACGGTTTTTTCATGTAAGGTTGCTTATGCAGTGGTTGCGACCGCGGTAAATCTCTCACTCTGAGCATATCTTCTGCGGCCATGACGTTTTCCACTTCTACGTCTGTTTCAACTCCAGGTACTTCGCCTTTGTGCGATTGTGTCTCCTCCACCACAGTATTCAACAAACGTTGAAACCACGCCTCCGCGTTATACATACGCATTTGCCGATGTTGTTTTGCAACCCATTCTTTCCATGCGTGCTTCTTGCTGTCCATGGTTGCGGCTTTCCTGTTCACACCAAATGCGTCGTTTGTCGCATGTTGTTGATAATATTGTTTCCAATCCGCTTTTAATTGCAAAAACCGCGTTTGCGTCGTGCACTCCCGCAAAAAGTACTTGTTGCGGTCAATCCAGTTAATCCAATGGATGCAGTCCAACGTCTCGTCACCGTGGTCGAAAGGGCGATGTTGATCATCGTGTAACTGTATGGTTTCCATACACTTCCATGGATCATGTTCATTCGGTGGAGACGGGTCCGTTGCTAACGGTATGTTTTCCATACAATTCCATCGGTCATCTTCGTTAGGTGCAGAACGGTCCGTTGCTAACTGTATGTGTTGCATACTACTGCAACGATCGGGGTCGTGTGCATGCGGTGCACAAGGGCCCGGTGCTAACTGTATGGTTTCCATACAACTCCATGGATCCGGGTCATGCGGTGGACAAGGGTGCGTTTCTAACTGTATGTTTTCCATACAACTCCATGGATCGGGATCGTGTTCATGCGGTGCACAAGGGCCCGTTGCTAACTGTTTAGTTTCCATACAATTCCATGCATCGGGGTCCTGTTCGTTAGGGCGACAAGGGTCCGTTCGTTCGATGTCAGTGGGTCGATCGAGGGTGGAGGAAACATTGATCCCTGGATAACCCTGGTTTGTGCTAGGAGCATCCAAGGAACTACTATACCCCTTTCCGTCCCGCATCAAATCCTGCGCCAAGTCACGCGAAAACTCCTCCACGACAATCTGCCAGTATTCGTCTTTGACGTTTTCCCATTCGGTCGCTTCACATTCGTTGAGAACTTCTAGATGTAGCTCGATGATCGTGCGCTTATGCACGCGTGGATGACGTCGTCGTCGGTCGGCAAATTTATCGCGACGTCGTGCCCTAACCATCGTGTAACCGTAATCGGGTGGCGGCAGTTCGCCACGTTGTAGATGGTCTAGAATTTCTTCGTCTAGTGGAGGTGACGGGATGTCACGAACGGTTCGATATGTTCGTCGTCGTTTGTGTCCGAGGAAGGCAAAATACTAAGCAGAAAAAGGGGGGTAAAGAGGAGGGTGAGGACGGTAGGATAAAAGGAATGAACACGGTTGTAGGAGAATATATGGAGTGGAACGATCATATATTGGAGCCGGTAGGGATGTTCTGAGGTATAAACAGGCTGCACATGCGGCATTCCCTGTTTGCCATATATACGTACCTTCCATAGGAAGAACGCAATGATCCCGATACCAACCACCGCTGGAATGATCGCGGGGGTGTAGGGGATGAGGTCCTCCCAAGTTAGGGTCGGAGCATCAAGGGCAGGAGGAACGTTTGAAGAATCCGCCTTTGGACTGGGGGGTACGCCCCGTGGACCCTGTGGGGTACCTAGACCATATGATCCACCTAAATCACCTTTTGCTTTGAGGGGGTTCAGGTCTAATCCGAATCCAAAATCTGCAGTGTTCTTTATACCATCAGCAACATCATTGGCGTCGGGATCACCATCGTGCGTAGGAGGCTTAGTCCCGTCTGTTGCTGTTCCTGTTGATGGTGTCGGCCCTGGTGCCGGTGCAGATGGTGGTGGTGGTTCCTTGGCTTTCTCTTCTGCCGGTGCTGGTGTTGTAGGTGATGCCGCCTTTGCTGCCTCCTGCGGGTTCCCATCTACTGTACCCGCCGGAACAGTATCACCTATAAGTTAAAGTGAGCAAGAAGAAGGCTGTGGATGTGCTGAACATAAGCCTTATGTGGTGGATGGTCGGCGACACGGTTCTCTTCGGTCCATTCGCTCATGGTTGGTTGGCTGCCGATCGGTTGACCCCCGGTCCGTCGCTCGTGATCGGTCGCTGGTGGTTGGTCCCATAGTGGACCAGGTCCGTCGCTCGTTGGTTGGCCATGCTCGGTCGGCATGCGTCGGGGACGGTGCCACTCCGGGAACAGACTCTCTCTCTGTGTCCCACAACACAACACACAACACACACAGTGTGTGTGTCTGTGTGTGTCTGTCGACGTCTACATCCAGCGGCCGACCCATCGCTGCGCCGATCGCTCGTCCGCTCACTCTCATTCGCCGTTTGGTTTCTCGCGCTCCGTGGTTTCTCTCTCTCCTGAAATTGTGTGTTTTTTTTGTGTGTTCTACAATTATAATATGGGTCGTAGGGTATTTGTACCGTGCTGCGCAGTAATGGGAAAGATTCGAGTACCTTGTACATTAGTTTCCCCGCTGGGAGCACGGTCTCGTGTAGCATTTTTTGTGTTCTCCACAGTTTTCGGGGTGGACTTTGCTCTTTCCTCCTGTTTTGCGAGTTCCTGCAGAATTTTACATGGTGCTTCCGCCCCATAATTGTAATTAACAGGCGTAATACTAACACTTGAAGCACCGGAGGATATTACAGTAGTGCTCTGTGGACCGGAGTCCGTTTGTTCACATATGCTCTTATAGTCTTCAACCGCGGACGATCCCGGTTGTCGTGGTTCTGGCGTTGGCGAAGGTAGTGTTGGTGGTATTGTTTCTTTTCATCCCAGGGGTTTGCATATAATGATGAATCCTCCTTTTTTGTTTGAATCATTGTACACTGACCCTCGCGTTCTTATATGCCTCACGCTCAGTCTGCTTTCATCTTACCTTTACTATCTGGAGCTGGTCCAGCATCTGCCCCTGATGCGTGATCCTCCTTTGGTCCGGTTGGACCTGGTTCACCCTTTGCTCCAGTTTCTCCCTGTGGACCAGCTGGTCCTGCATCACCCGGTGCGCCTGTGTTCTCCGCTGGACGTGCGGGTTCTGGTGGAGGAGGTGGTGGTGGTCTTGCTGGAGGTTGTTCGTCATCGTCCTTCCTTGCTACGTCTCCTCCTGTTCCTGTTCCCTGTCCTGGTGTGCCTCCTGCTACCGGTTTCGGCGTCGCTGGTGTTGTCGCCATCGGCTTCGCACCTGCTGCAATGAAGAACGAAAAGGAAGAAACATGGTAGAAAGATGATAAAAAAAAAAAACGACACAAGTGGTACAGAAAGAAGGGGGCCAGGACGGTTCGGTCAGGTAGCGGCAGCAAGCGCACGGTGTTAGAGAGAGCGCACGTTGTTAGAAGAGGACAAAGACAGGAACAAAGGGGGGCGCACTCGGTGAACGTGGGCTAGATGGTAGCAGTACAACTTTTATTTGTCGTCGCCGTCATCTCGTCCGCCGTCCCGTTCCGTCAGTGTGCACCGCCCGTCTCCGCTACCGCTACCGATGCTGTTATTGCTGCCGTAGTCTACACTCGTGGCCGCCGCTACCGCTACCGCGTCCGTCGTAGTCAACGCTCAACCGAAGTGGGGCACACGAAGTGAGGCCGAGAAGAGGCAGCGCTGTGCTGTTCCCGCCCGCGTGTGCATGTTGTTGTGTTGTGGCGGCATCCGTATGCGCAGTCGTACGGATCGTAACGTTAGCGGCCGTATGATGCCGTATGCGGCCATAGTCGGTATCGGGCGTATGTTCGTAGTGTTACAAATCGTATTCTTACGTGTCGTTTCGGTGGCGTCCTTGTGCGCGTTCTTCGGCACGTCCTGAAACGCCTCCTGTGCTTGCTGCAGTATGTCGTCTGTATCTTTCGCGACGTTCTCAATTATCTTTGTTACCGCTCCTTCCAGCTGCTGCTCTGCGTCCTGTATTTTCCTCTGCCCTTCTTCGCTCAAACGTTCTTTGAGCGTGCGCCCTTCTGTGTTCCCATCCTTAATAGGGTTGTGCGGGTGGTCTATCTGCTTAATATAATCTGTCCATCTTTCTGTACACGGCATTGCCTGCTCCATTTGTGCTATTTCGTTCATTATTTCCCCGTGGTGCATGAGCCACTCTACGACTTTCAAATTTATTGCGTGTGCCCACCTTTCATGCCCTTGGTACCCACATGCTGTACACCTGCCTTCTATAACGGGACCGTTGATCGCTCCCACTCCATTTATGCCCGCGCTCTTCATATCCCTGAATGCTATCCGAGAATACTCTACGCCCCTCTTGTATCCTTTTTGCTCTGAACAATACTTCTCCTTCAGTAAATGTCCAAAGATATTTACCACTTCACACCTGAACATATCCTTTTCTTCCGGCGTGATGTCGACCCCGTCCGTGTTAGCGCTTGCGCTATGGCCCCACCCATTTGCGAAGGCCCATGCAACACTCATAACTCTGCACCGTACGACATCTGCTACTCTTTGTTGCGTATGACTGTCATTGCCCTTGCCGAAATCATTCCAACCAGTATTATAACAGTTTGCACCATATGCTTCATTGAGGTCGTTGTGGTCCTGCATATATTCCGTAAATGCCTGCAACACTTGCTTCCACTTGTTCCATGCGTTATCCTACATGTTGCACATGGACATTAAAAAAGTGCCCATGGGCACATGTTACCTATGTGCTTGCACATAAATACATATACATTCTCACATGTATGCATGTGACGTTATGAAAAAATTGCGTGTGTTTTTATTCGTGTTGCCTCTGCATCTTTTCTCTCTCTGTAATCTAACTTACATCACGTGGAGGCACCACGTACACCGCGTTACGCCCTTGCTGCACTATTCTTTCTCCTGTACACTCCTTGTCCTGCGGGTTCGCCATGTTCCCGTTCTCGTGCTGACCTCCTACGGCAACTGCCGTACTAGGCGTACCACCCTTACCACCACCACCAGATGATGTCGTCGTCATGGCACCGCCCGTTGTCGTCGTTACCGTTTTCTTCGTTCCCGAGTCCGGCGGTTTCGCCGCTACTGGTTTGGCAGGAGGTGCTGGTTTGGCCGGGGCGGGTTTAGGTGCCTGTGGCCCGTCGCCTGAACCTCCTGCGGATGGTATGGACTGTGCTGTTTTCCGGTCTTTTGGTGCCGAAGGTTGTGACTTCGGCTTCGAGGGTTTCGACTCCTTCAGCGGTGGTTTGGGTTTCCTTCCTGGTCCTATTCCAGGGCGTGGGCGCCGCGGGTTAGAGGCTGGATCCAGTGTGTTGGAAGTTCCTTTCGTTCGTGGTTTCCCCGTTCTTACAGTTTCACCAATGTCCCATACTTTTTCTTGTACGTTCTTCCTTATTTTTTCCCTCATAGTACACCTTGTACGCGGCTCCAAACTCTGCTGTATTAGTCTCTTAAGATGCATGGACGGGGCCGTGATATTTACGTCAATTAATTCCATGAGTTCTTTTGTATCCTCATCATGTTTCGCTGCCTGCACCGTTGCTATACATTGCTTAGTACTCTCCGGCTGTTGCTCGTTCTTCGTCTCTGTATCCTGCCACCTGCATTTTGCTGTTGCCCCGTGTCCACTTGTAGCTTTTCCTATTACGGAACCTTTCTTCCATTCTTGCAGGCGGTCCCCTATGTGCTGTCCAATAATTCCTGACCCGAATATGAATTTACCATAATCCCTCTCTTCGCACAGTGCCGGTTCAATCGGTCCCCTTAATATTGTTGCTCCTTGCTGTAACTTCCCGCGAACTTTCTCTATTATATCTCGGTGGTCACTACTATTTCCATATATTTGGCCCAAGACCTCACCTGCTAATATACATTTCAGGTACTCGTCAAACTGGTCCGCTGAAAGTGCCCTTACTGTTCTTTTTGTCCAATTATCCCCATATAATTATACCCTCTCATGTACAGCAGAATGCTCATAATTTCATTACATCTACTAATGCATAATCTATCATCCGCTCCACTATATAACTCTCCGCAGATGCCACTATTCCAGCCATTCCTACGGCTAATTACAGTTGTTACCTCTGTGAAGATATCATCAACATCCCTATATATGCGATTCTGAAGATGAAACAGTTCATATATATGTGTGAAATTGCTCTTTGTGTTTACATTCCCTTTGTCGACTTGACTGCATGGATTCTCACTTTCCCTCAGGCACCTGTATTCGCCACCTACTGCACTGTGGTCTTGTACATAGGACGTTACACGCTCTACGACATGCACATGAATGAATGCACTCACATACATGGCTATCCATCTCCAATACATATAAGCATACTGTCAAATGTGACATTCCGGTACTTCTAACACTGCACTTAACGGAACTTACCAAATAATTCCTTCCATTAACTAATTTCTTCTTTATTACATAAAGCGTCCAGGCATTCACAAACTTCAACTGCCACACTGATGCAGTCCCTGTAGACATATTGAACACAGTTTATTCCCCTTCTTAAAAAAAAAAGTACACGACTACTACTACTACTACTACACACCACTCATTAACAACAACAACAAATACATACACACACCCCGTCTCCGGGTCACCCCGTCTCCGTCAACGCCTCTCCCGTCAACGCTTCTCCCGTCAACGCCTCTCTCGTCAACGCCGCGCGCGTGAAGGCCTCTCCCTCACCCCGTTCTCCGTGAACGCCTCTCCGTCACCCCGTTCTCCGTCAGCGCAGTCTGCGGCAACGCCGCTCCCGTCAACGCCTGTCGGTCACCCCGTCTCCGTCACCCCTTCTCCGTCAACGCGTCTCCGTCACCCCGGCTCCATCACCCCGTCTGCGTCAACGCTTCTCCCGTCAACGCTGTCTCCGTCAACGCTTCTCCCGTCAACGCCTCTGCCGTCAACGCCTCTCCGTCACCCCGTCTCCGTCAACGCTTTCTCCGTCAATGCCTCTCCGTCAACGCTTTCTCCGTCAACGCTTTCTCCGTCAACGCTTTCTCCGTCAACGCCTCTTCCGTCAACGCTTCTCCGGCACCCCTGCTCGGTCACCCTGTCACCGTTGTAGAAGGAAAAAAAAAAAAAAAGTACTACTACACTACCATACACACAAACGCGTCATGAATAGCCCGCCTGGCCCCTTTCTACACCGGTCTCCACTACACGCCTGTCACGCACACGGTCTCTCTGTGTGCGTACACCTAAAACCCCTTGTACACTACAAACCGCAGTATAACAACAACATCAATTCTTCGTGCCGTCGTTGCTACCGTTGTTGCCAACGCTGTTCGCCCTCCCACAAAATATGTGTATTCCGTCGTCCCCCTGCCCCGCCCACTGTTTGCGCCCTCTCTGGATCTTGCTCTCGCACCCCTTACTCTGCCACGTCGTCGAATCGCTTCACGCGGAGAGACAATCCTCGTCCTTCTTACACTCGGACAAGCCTTCGTCGAATCGTTGTTACACTCGGCTACTTCGTCGAATCGTTGTTACAATCGGCCGCTTTGGTCGACGCGTTGCTCGGGGAGACAATCCTCCTCCTTCTTACACGCGGCTACCTCGTCGAATCCGTCTTACTCGGACAATCCCGTTTACCAGACCGCGTTGGTCGACGCGTTTGCTCGGAGAGACAATCGCTGCTCCTTCTTACACTCGGACAATCCTTCGTCGAATGGTTCCTACACTCGGCCACGTTGTCGAAGCCTGCTTACACTGGGACAATGCTGCGTCGAATCGTGGTTACACTCGACGACAATGCGGTGTACGCGGCCGCGTTACTCGACGCGTTTGCTCGGAGAGACAATCCTCCTCCTTCTTACACGCGGCTACAATGCGGTTTACGCGGCCGCGTTTGCTCGGAGAGACAATGTCTCCCTCCGTTCTTACACTCGGCTACGTCGCAGAACCCCGTCTTACGGGGAGGGGCGCGTGTACTGGGAGACACAAGCCCTCCTCCTGCTTACACTCGGCACAATGCTTACTCGGCTACTTCGTCGACTCGGTGTTGCACTTGGCCACGTTTGCTCGCAGAGACAATCTCTCCCTCCGTTCTTACACTCGCCACAATGCTTACTCGGCTACTTCGTCGAATCCTTCTTACACGCGGCTGCTGCTTCGAATATTTCTTACACTCAGCTGCTTCGTCGAATCGTTGTTGCGCGGCGACACAATCTGCTCCTTGTTAAACGCGGCTGCGTGCGCGGACAATGCGGTTTACGCGGCCGCTTTGGTCGACGCGTGTGCTCGGAGAGACAAGCTCTCCTTATACTCGAATGCGTATGCGCATGCTATGTGTTCTGCACTATACCCTTAGAATGCACGTGCGCATCTTTTAATAATTAACTTCACATAAAGGAGAATACTACCGCTGCATATTATTCATGTAAATGTACATGTTATATGCATGTAACCGGTACGCACCTGTTCCTATGGTCATGTTAAAAGAAGTTGACTACACAGAAAAAGAACAAAACCAAGCACAAGTAAACAGAAGTAAGCAGAAGAGAGGACAAAAAAAGACGGTATGGAATAATGTAAACCCGAAATACATTATGTATATCACATAATGAAGTAAAAGTGGTGTACGAGTAGCATGCGCGATGCCGCATGCATATGCGCCGTCATACTAATGTCACAGTTGCTCCAATACGTCATCCACATATAACTCCTTCTCCTGCAAACTGCGTTCGACCTCGCAGTGTTCTATGACTAATGCCAGGATCAATATCCATGTTTGAGCGGTTAACGGTTTTTTCATGTAAGGTTGCTGATGCAGTTGCTGTTGTGGTAAATGTCGCACTTTCAAAGCTGATCCGCCGTCCAGTGCTTGTTCTACTTGTAAGCCTTTTTCTACAGGTGGCCCGTGTTCTGTTACAAATGTGGTCGGTTTTTCATCTACTGTGTGTATGTGACTCACTCCTTGCACCTTTCGTATCTGTTCCGGCATGCGGTCTTCCTCTGTGACTACTCCTGTCTCCTCGATATTACTCCATAGGTGTTGAAACCACTCCTGTTCACTATACATACTCATGTGCCGATGTTGTTGCGCTACCCATGCTTTCCATGCGTCAAGCTTGTTTATCTTCAGGGTTGCCGCTGCACCGAATTCACGCTGCGCGGATACTACGTTGTCTTCGTGTTGCGCCATGTGCTCACGCAGGTATTGTTTCCATTCCGATTTGAGGGCATTAAACCACGGCTGCGTCGTGCACGCCCGCAATAGATGCTTGTTGCGGTCAATCCAACGCAGCCACGTGGTAGTGTGGGATGTGGTTATGTCTGTGATGTCGGGCTGAGGATGATCACATGTGGGTGTGTCTGTGACTGCGTTACCGGAGCCTGGTGGTTGTGTGATTTCGGGCTTCGGATCCTCACATGTGGGTGTGTCTGTGACTGCGTTACCGGAGCCTGGTGGTTGTGTGATTTCGGGCTTAGGATCCTCACATGTGGGTATGTGCGTGACTGTGTAACATGTGGGTATGTCCGTGACTGTGTCACATGTGGGTATGTGCGTGACTGCGTCACGTGTGGCTATGTCTGTGATGTCGGGCTTAGGATCCTCACATGTGGTGGTGTGCGGGACGGTGTCACATGTGGTGGTGTGCGGGACGGTGTCACATGTGGGTGTGTCTGTGACAGTGTCGCTTGTGACTGTGTGTTGTGTGATTGCGGGCTTACGAGCATCGCATCTGGTTATGTGCGCGATTGCGTCACATGTGGGTATGTCTGTGACTGTGTCACGTATGGGTGTGTCTGTGACGGTGACACATGTGGATATGTCTGTGATTGCGGGCGTAGGAGGTGCACGTGTGGGGATGTCCGTGACTGTGCCACATGTGGGTGTGTCTGTGACTGTGTCGCATGTGGGGCTGTCTGTGACTGTGTCGTGTGTGACTGCGTGTTGTGTGATGTCGGGCGTAGTATCTGCACATGTGGGTATGTCCGTGACTGTGTCGTGTGTGGGTGTGTCCGTGACGATGTCGCTTGTGAGTGTGTGTTGTGAGCTTGAGGGCTTAGGATGATCACATGTGTGTGTGTCTGTGACTGCGTTACCGGAGCCTGGTGGTGGTGTGATGTCGGTTTTAGGATACACATGTGATCGTGTAAGGAATAGCAGTGTTTCAGG